AAAAAAAAAAAAAAAAAAAATGAAAGAACAAACACTTGTTTAAACACTGTAGTTTGTGTTCTCAAAGACTCAGTGACATAGTTTTTCTTTTCTCTTGAATTTATTTCATTTATAAAAGACATGTCACGTCCTTCATTAAAGCACACACACATCAAGCTATTCGTACTTGGCCGGGTGTGCTCTGGCTACGAAAAGCTTCATGATGGGCACCCCCAGCATGCTGCACAGGAACTGTGAGAGCACGCAAACTCCCTCAGCGGGCCCAAGCTGCTTCCCCGGGGCGTCCTTCCCCCTCACTCCTCCACACTCCTCAGCCTCTGCATACTCTTCCAGCGCGGGGATGTCTCCATTCCTTGGGTAAGACAGAAAGCCACAACTCCAAGGACCTATGTTACTTACTATAAGCTCTTTCCTGAAAAATCCTTAAGGGAAGGCAACGGGTTATACTTAGGTCTGGGTCACTGAGCTTACAGTGATAATAAAGATAATAAAGATAATTGTGATAATAAAGATAATTGTAATATAAAATGTAATGCCCAAGCCATCAGACACTCAGTCTTCATTTGATTAGATGAATGCTGAGTTTTAGAAATGAAAAGTAAGTCCCTTAGTACTACCAAAGAACTTGGATAGTCCAGAAATATGTCTTCCTATAGTCAATTAGTTGTAGCCCCCCACATATACCAAAATCTTCAAATGTTCAAGCCCATTATATAAAACAATGTGGTACCTGCATGTAACTTCACGCATCAGCCTATTTCAAATCCTCTCAATACTTATAATACTTAACATGATGTAAATGCTACCTAAATAGTCATGTACCGCATAATAATTCAGTCAAATATATACAACGTTTCAGCCAATGATATACCACAATATGTATCTTAGGGATTTAGCATATAGTAAATGGTGCAGTTTGTCTAAGCAAACACTCATGCTCATACAAAATCACTTAAGGATATGTTTCTCCATACATACTGTTAAATGATGCAAGACTACAATTGTATGTATTATTTAGGCAATAATGACAAAGAAAGTCTTGTGTGCTCAGTACAAATGCATTTTACCTCGAAGATTTTCAGTCCATTGTTGCTTGAATCCATGGATATATATATGGAGGACCAGCCTTCAACAGAAGGCTGTTGTAGGGCATAAATAGATCACATGTAAAATATTTAGAGTAGTGCCTGGCATGGAACACACACTCCATAAATGTTAACTACTGTTTAACAAGTAAAAGGTACAACAAGGCTTTTACTGATGAAATAAATAATCTTCCTGGATCATTACATGAAACAGAACTAATATTTACCTGTATGCTTATGTACAAGTGCTTTTTTTTTTTTTTTAAGACAGTTATATAACACTTGGTTGAGTCATATATTATCTTAATATGTCAAAGACATACTGGCATTTTTATATGGTTCAATCCAACACTTTCTAGTTTCCCTTGCTTTAAAGACTTACACACAGAGAAAAAAAATTCAGTTTTCTATTCAACAGAAGACAATAAAGTAATTCCACCACCAAGCCACCTCTGAAAGATTGTTTATTTATTATTTATATTTTGAGGGAAGGGTCTATAGGGTATTCAGGGTTTTACTATTAGATTGGACTCTAGTGATCCGCCTTTTTACAGCTGCCCAAGAGCTGAGATTACAGACGCGGGCCACCTTGTCCAGTCTCAATCTGCCCGCCTCAGTGTGCCCTGGGGCCAAGGCAGGAAAGGCAGGCCCAGGGATCAAAGCCCCAGCCTTTGTGCCTGCCCACAGGCACTTTAATCCACTGAGCTATTTGGCCGGCCCTCAAAAGACACCTAATTTAATCTCAGGGAATTTTAACATGAAAACTAAGTTGAATGTCTAGAAAAAAAAAAAATATTTTAAAGAGAATAACTAGAAATGCTTATGTGAATTTAGAAATGTCTTGATTAACTTTCTCCTTTACATATAAAATTACAGGTTTTATCTCTAGCCAAACACAAAACAAATACAGCCTTACTCCTCTGAACTAAGGCCCACAGTAAAGACATTAAATCCACACCACTTTGATTTTTCTTAGGTAAATGCATTTTAGTGATCAATTTATAGAGGGGCATATCAAACAGGGTTATTTGTATCTCTGTAAGGAAAAATGTCAAAGCAATTAACAGTTCTGCACAATTACACTTAACTGACAAGGATGATTGGCTGAGGAATCTCAAGGATAGCAGAGATGTACACTAATAAAGGTACCACCACATTAAAGATAATCTCATTCAAAACAGAAAAGTGTTTACTTTGTCTGTATGCTTTTACTAAAATGCTGTAAACAACCCAAACTTTAAAAAGGTAGGATATGAGAATGAATGAAGACATCTAAAGACGCAAGATCTAAAGACTGCTTCCCATGATTCTAACCACATTATCTCATGGACAAATTTCATAACATAAAAAAATAAATACTATAATGGAAATATAAGGATTGATTTATTACTTTTTGGTTTACAAAGGCACCCAATAATGCTTCTACTTACTGCTTATAAAAGAATATTAGTTTGTATTTAAAAACTAAAAATCTGAAATAAGTTTCTGCAGACACAAAGGGGGAAAATGATACCTGTTCCTTCCCTGCTTATAGGCATTATTACACAGATTCAAAGAATATTCTACAGATCTTGAAGTCAAAAAATAAAAGAAAATAAAAACAATCCCAAAACCAGTGCCTTCTCTTCTGCATTGAGATTTAGGCCACGTCAGTGTTCTGAAGTAAATTTTAATATGGTCACAATGACATCGCAATGTATAAATACATATACCAGAACTAGTAAGAGTCCATGTGGGGTGTGGGGGAAGGTTACTCAAATGTTTTAGAATACAGTTTTATCAAATCAGTTAAATGAAATAAATTTATTTTATAGGTGGTCCAGTAAAAGAATGAATTTGTGGAGAAAACACAGAGCTCTAAACATTGTCTAGCAAATGACAAACAATGGATTTCCAAAATCTTAAAATTTGACTTAAGTCCAAAAATCTAGCTGGTACAGTTTATCAATCTACACACTTATTATACTAATTTTAGAACTTAATTTATTCTTTATCTTTCACAACAGAATTCTAAACACACAAAATTAATGCAGGAGCCTCAGCTCCCGACCAGTTACCATTTCTTTGAATTCTAAGGACAGCAGAACTGCTGGGAAAGCAGGCTCTTCCTCTGCACTTCACAGGCCTACACAGCTCTGCCCCAATGCTTTTGTAGAACACAAATTCATCTGATTCTAAGTATTTGGCATGAGTATAAAAATCATAAAACATCAGCATGTTTTCAACACATTATGGACATACACTGGGAGAGTGCTCACCATGCATGACCCAAGCCACCTTAAGTTAAAGGCTCCATCGTTTATCCCACTTTGACACATTCTCATGGTCTCTCACACCTCATACAAGGTGTGGTCCTAAACCAGAGATGTTAGTACTATTCCAAAGAATATATACGTATTTACATAACTATTTCCTTTAAAATAATGCTTAAAAATTTTACTACAGAAAATCTAGCTTCAACATGGAAGCATTTTTCCTTTTCAAGATTATACACCTGCATGTAAGAAGGTGATTTCCTTTACATTTAGTTTGTCCAGAGTAGCAAAATAAACTTCTTATACATGGCACTTAAACTAACAAAACAAATTAGGATGGAAAGTTACATCTAACTTTTTGTATTGTGAATTGACCTCTTTACACATATTCAAGATACATGGCTGATGATACATAGTACAACTTCAGCTTAATTAGAACAGTTGTATGCTGAATGACCTGTTAAAGCAAACTTATGTTAAAACAGTAAACCATTATTTATTGAGTTTTAGAGGGAATTATGTTTCATTAAAATATGCAATTTTCTTGCTATAACATTTCTATAATGCATTTCTTTCTAAAGCTAAAAACCCATGCAGAAAAAAAAGTAGTATCTTCAAACTCATTCAACAGTTTGCTACTTTATATGGTATGTAAATAAAGTCCTTTATTTAATTTTATACATATCATGTATTATATTTTCTTGAAGGAATTCAACTTTCAATGTCAAAATTAGTATGTTTATACACAAGACCATTTTCTTGATGTTATTAGCTGCACATACATTCTTCCATAATAATGCACTTTCAGATTTCATTTGAAAGACAGTATGAGCCTTTTTAAAGTCCTAAAACAAGATTTATAAAGGGAATAGAGCACAAAAGTCTCAAAAAATTTCTTGTTTCAAAACATGAACAGAATCTATAGGATTTTTATTTGGTCAAAATTTGGACAAGAAAAGTTTAGTCCTATTCTTTTTTAGGCTAACATAGTTTTATTGATATGGATTTGCAAACCTGCTTAAATCCAGCAGGGTCTTTAATATATGGCCTGCTGATTATAAAAACAACTGATTATACTTACAGGAAAATGATATGTACCAGGCATTTAATCAGAAAAAGAAAGATGAGCATGTATTTTTCATGTTTGATATCACTCAATAACTTACAGAATGAAGTAAAAATAGTTTGGCTATAGTTTTAATAAAACTAAAACCCATTAAAACTGATGGAAAAAATCAAACATTTAAGAATCAAGTATCTACCAACTTAACTAATACTCTGTCCAAATAAATTCTTTCCATTGCACTGAATCAGAATGATATGTTAAGGCATTTTTAATTAATATGTTCCAGAATTGCACAGTTATACTGGTCAATGTTTCTACTTCCCTAGTCTTGCCTTTGTCCTACCCCTTTCTTTCCATGGATGAAAATGGTAAATCATACATAGCATTGGTGACTCTTGTAGACAGCTTTGAGCTGGCATACAACAGTGTGTTCACTAGGATTTATGAGCATAAACATTAAAATGTTACATAAAATGTACCATGTTTTACTCTACACACTGACTAAGATGGTTTAATGTCTTTACAAAAGATGAGATGACGTAAGTACGTTTTACATTCTGTGCATTTAGACCACCAAATGCATAGATGTGCTAATGCAAAATTCTTGGTCTTCAGTATCTCATAGTGCTTGATGCTCTGAAGTATGACAGAAACTTGTAACACAGACTAACCACAAAGTACCAGATGTTTCTTGCCATTTGTGACCTTGCAATAAAAATGCGCCAGATCAGGATCACAAGTATAGTATTGAAACCATAACGTATATTCCGCAACCTGAAAAGCAAATCAAGAGACATGCTAGACAATGTTTTTTAGAATGAAGTATTTCTGGACAGCAGCTAATTAATGTTTATAAACTAAATTATAGGTCAAATTTACATTAACCTGAAACATTTAAAAACTAAAGGTTCTAAAACTAAGAGTAAGCAAAATTCAAATTAACCTGACTGTATACCCTGGACAGTGTTACAACAAACAATGTACTACCTCTACCTGTATTTTAACAAGGAATCCAGCAAAGTGCTTGCAGAACAGTCTTTCTGGATTATAAATTTACCTATTCAATATGTACTATTTAGCATTCTTATCTGCCCACTAATGGAGGAGGCATTAAGAATACTGTAGATACAACATACACGTGCCTTGCACTTCTCACTACAGTGGTACCTCGGCTCACACATATAATTCTTCCCACAATTCTGGTTGCCAAGCAATTTGGATGAGAAGCAAATCAAATTCCCCATAAGGTCCACATTGACTCTAAGCACTGAATTTGATTCAGTTCTTTTATTTTTATGTTTTTAATTTTAATATAGGGTTTACAAGTTCTCACTCCATAGATTGGACTCGTAATGATTCTCCTATTTTCAGCCCCCCAAGCGCTGGGATTACAGGCGTGAGCCACCACGCCCAGTCTCAATCACCATCTCAGTGGGCCCTGAGGTTGAGGCTGGCACGGCACGCTGGGAATTGAACCCCAGCTCCCGCATCTGCTTAGGCAGACGCATTAGTCCGCTGAGCTACCTGGCTGGCCCCTTGATTCAGTTCTTGTCCAATTCAGTTTGCAACCAGAACTGTGGATTAAGATCATGAACTGAGATGCCATTATAAATTAAAAGGGTCTGTTCATTATGTATATCACAATACAAAGTACTGTAAACATTTCTGATGTTTTTAGTTGTTTGCAACTTATCAAACAAGTGAATTCATATGATCAAAGCCCAACCAACAAGTTCTAGTTTAGAGTAAAACATGGTACTAAATAATAATGTCTCACAACTCCATTAATTTTAGCATGCAGTCCAAGACAGGACATCCTTATAGGAACAATGGCATGGGCCAAGTTTTGAATAGAGAATTGAAAGCTAAATGGTCTTGTTTGCTTTGCCAATTAATACAGTACCTGCAGGCAAACACAACGTTCTTACAGCTCATTTTTTCTTCATCTATTCAACTGGATAAATGATAGATTACTAGTAACTTTAACTGTACTATTTTTGAGTTTTTTCTAAAATCTGCATTTACTACTTTTACAAAGAAAGAAAATTGTAACTATTTTACAAAGAGAAAATTCTGTATCGAATGATGTTTGTTACATCTTTTCTTTCAAGGATTACTTGACTAAGGCAAAACAAAACAAAAATCTATAAGTAAATAATGTCTAGCTTAAAATACAAGGTTTTGCTGGGGAGATAGCTCAGCAGCATAAGCTCCTGCCTCACAAGCGCAATGTCCTGAGTTTGATTCCCAGTACTGCAAAAATAAATAAATATAAAAAAATTTAAAAATAGGTTTTTTTCTTAGCAATATTTTTACTTTTTCAACAGCAATATGAGAAGACAATAGTGATATTTAAATCTCAATCTGACCTTATTTACTTCATGCTAAGGAATATGGACAGACAGTAAGCCTGTACAAGCTTAAGCTAAATCAATACAGCCATAGGTCCAACCCAAAAGCAAGCATTTTCCTAAATATAATAGATTAATAATACAGCAGCTCACCAGAAACATCTATGTAATACTTTTTAAGGAACACAATACATACTTACTTAAACTCATGTAAACTTACTTGTTCAAATGTTTTCTAGCTGCAGGTAGGCCAGACATTTCTTCATTCAAAACATATTTCTTAGTTCCCATGCAATAATTTTCTATATATTCTGCCCAATGTAATTGTCGGACGTCAATATTGAAGGTCTACATTAACAAAATGAAATTATTTAACTGAGCAATTTTTTTCAAAACTTATCAAAAAATTCTTCTAAAGGGCAATCCCAAAACAAGACTGTATGAGATTTAAATACAAGATTAACTACTCCTATTGTCCAAACAGATCTGTGTATTCTTCACTTCTTCTAGTTCTGGTCTATCTGCATACTCTCCATTGTATATCAAAAACAAAAAAAACAAAAAAAACCACAAAACATTATGAAAGCTAGCTTAGAGTTTAGATAACAATTACGAGGCCATTTTGTGAAAATAGATAAATCAGAAAATGGCAAAATCAGAGGACTATCTAATGCTCAGTGTTCCTCAGGATACAGACAAATGATTGTGATTGTGATTGTGTGTGTATGTGTGTGTATAAAGAGCTCACTATACCATCACTTACCTAAAATTATCAAATTTGAGAGAAAAAAATGCTACTGTAAAGAAATCATCAAAATATGAAAATGTAATATTACACTACCTTGAACAAGAGGCTATTACAGAGTTCCAGAAGGACAGAGAAAAAGAATGGAACAGAAGCAGTTTCTAAAATATAATGCCTGGAAATTTCCCCCAAATTATGAGACATTAAGCCACACTGAATGAAAAAACACCAACCGTATACACATACATACCTAGGTACTGGGGAGTGCATCAGAAAAAGACCAAATAGATCACTTCTAAGAGAGAAAGTATTAGACCACTAGCCGACTTCTCAACAAAGCAAGGGAAGCCAAAAGACTGAGACATTTCCTGAGTGTTCAAAGGAAGTTATTGCTAACATACAATTACTGTATAAAATTACTATATAATACAACTTACCTAAAATTCTATGCCAGTGTAATTACCTTTCAACAACAAAGGTGAAATAAAAGCTTTTCCAGAAGAGTACAAACTGAAACAACCTGACATAAGCAGAGTACCCACAGAAGAAGTATGCCACAGGTTATTTTTTCAGGAGAAAGACACTAGAATGCAGACTGACTCCAGAAAGACAGAAGAAATGAAGACTAGCAGGAGGACGATTATACTGGCTACTCAATGAATAGTTATTACGCAGACTATACTAGTCTGAATATGCCCTTCCAAAAGCATACGGTAGAAATTCAATCCCCAGTGCAATAGCGGTGGGAGCAGAGGCCCGAGAGGAGGTGACCATGTGTTGAAGGTTACACCCTCATGTGGATGAAGGTTAATTATAAAAGGACTGTGATCTCAAATTCAATCAGTTGCTCTCTCTTTGTCCTTCTAGACGCCAGCCCCTTAAGATTCCCAGCCTCCAGACCAATGAACCAACTTCTATTTATCACAAATTATCCCATTTCAGGTATACTGCTAGCACCACACAAAACAAACTAAAAATGGCTGTGAAAAAAACATAATGCCTGTCAGGCCAAACTTATAAAATATTTGCCAGTAGTAGACAGGCACTGGTCCTTCATTATTCATGAAAGGTGAAAGCATGGATTTATATTATGCCTTGCCAAATTAAGATGCGGTTATCTCCAGGGTAACCCACCAAAATGATTATTAAAACTATATAT